GTCATAACAATGCTAATTAATTTGCGGGAAATATACACGGGCATCATAAAATTGCTTTGAATGCCTAATGCGGCCTGGCGACCGCCAGTTTGAAAGCATTCATGCAACCTATCGTATGCCCCAAAATATCCACTTATCATCACTAAGGGATAAACAGGAACATCAGCTGATATTTTTATGTGTAACTATAACGTGAGCTGTTGTACTAAGAGAAGTTCTTCATTTATAGTCTCTTCCTGAAATACATAACTTTTGCGGGTTTTACTATAACCATTTAAGCAGCAGGGCAACTACAGATGGAAGGATTTACCATCGCAACCCAGTGATCCAGTGGAATTTTCTCATTCTCATTACATATCTCCGGGTTGTCCATTTGGCAAGAGCTATGCCAGTGCCACCACTCATAAGAGAATTTGTCAATCAAAATGGGCTCACTGTATCACAGACAGTTTACGAGAAGGTGTGTTAAACCTTTCCAGGGCAACCTAGATCTAACTGACTGGGCCGGGCCTTCTCAGGGGGGGGGAGGAACTATATCCTCGCGCAGAGAGAACTTGCATTATGAACTCTGATTAAGCGCATCGATTCAATAGGGTCAGCGAGCAACCGAATATCCGGAAGGGAAGGAAATGGTTTGACTGCTGAGAGGATTGTTTCCATGACAAAACGGATGCTGGTCGCAAATGAATGGGGAGGAGTGCTGCTGTAATCTATGTTAAAGCTAATCACTGCCCGCAACTCCGGCAGCAGAGGCGAGATTGAGTTCGACTTGGAATTAACTAAAAGCGCAGGAGGACACCAGAATACATAGCAGGAATTTGCCTCTGTCTAAGAAAGTTGCACCTCAGATCTGTATCTCTAAATAAATGGCGTATGATTCGGAGGTTTCGTAACACTTAAACCCGCCATTAAATGTATGATTATTTCTGTTATTGTATAGATACTAAAATCATTATGTATAACGAGATACGTAATGCCGATTTAAATGCACATATTAATTTCTATTTCATTAATAAGATGCATTTGTATACAAGTTTGCAACTAACTGATAGAATGTTAGTTTTCACACTTTATTATAAGTAAAGTGTTACAATATAGAAAATTTCTTGAGTTTCTTTTCTCATTATCACATCCAAGGAATCAGAAGTATGATAAATTTTTCTTTGATGTGTTTGACTGTGCATACTTTTCGTGTTTTAGTTTCAGACAATGCACCTTATTTTAGCATTTGAGATTTAAAAGAAGCAAATAAAAAATTTGAAAACCTTCAGATTTTACATCACTTCCAAAGAAGCTTTTTTTTTTAACATTTTGTGTGTTACCTTTATGTATTAAATATCATGTTCTTTGCACTTAAACCACATAAAATTCAATTCATCAGCAAAAATCAATATCACAAAATATTTAGAAACAATATATCTTTAGAATTTCCGATAGATAGTCTCGTGCGTTGGAGATAAAATTTTTTTTCCGCACAGTGTTGCCATTGCTCGCTTTGAAATCGGTTAATCCGAAATTCGTTAAAGGTTTACAAAATATGAAATAGATAATAAAACAAATTCGAAATTCAAAATTCGGGCTTTCAGTTGCCCATGTTCGGGTGTAAGTTTAAGTTATTCAAAATCTGATGGCTCTAGGTACCGCTGCTTTTTCACAGAGTGTGAGAAACATACATATATTCATGCAGATTCTTCATTATTTAATTTCTTTAAATATAATAATACGTAGCCATAATACTTGGTGGCAACAATTTAAAAAGTGATTGGCTGTTTATAATGAAACTACGCAAAATGCCGTTTCAGAATAGCACTTCCGTACTAACACTCTTTTGAGTTAAAAATATTTGAAATTTCCAGTTTCTTCGACAATTAATGGTAGATTAAAAAACTTGCAATTTTTGAATATTTTATTTTCAGAAATGAAATACTAGGAGGAGTAAATGTAATGCTCTGTGTTCTTTTCTATGCTGTACATTCTAAAGATATTGCATATCTTTTCATTAAAATTCATTGCATACCGCTGTATAAACTGACCCTTCCAAAGCCACATCATTATGTTGTTTCCAGATTTTACGTTTTCCGAAAACTATGCCAAAAGTTTCGTCCAAAATTGTTTATCGTACTTTATAATACTTTCAAATGTCCAAAACTTTTTAACGTACTTTTATAAATTTCAGCTGAAAAGAGGGAGAGCGGATTGAGAAGAACCGATTATCTCTACATAGAATAAAAGAAAGAGTCTGTCTGTGTGTGTGTGTCTTTCGTTCGCGCTTCGCGTAAGCTAATAGACTCACGGCTACGAAATTTGGTAGATAGGTGCATCTAGACAAGAGCCAGTGCACCTCGAAGCGATTTTTTCGAAATTCGAATTCGAATTTTTTTTATTTTATGTATTGTGACGAAATCGCGTCATTTTGAGACATAATGGGCTATAGGAAAGCGACATTTCACTCTACACATTCCATTTTCACATCGTCATGAAATGTGGGCAGTTACCTATTTTACGAACTTAAAATAAATTTCGTGTTTGAATAAATCGATTAAATACGAATTTATTTAACAAAGTAAGCTTAAAACCTTTTCAACGTTTTTTTTTTTTTTTTTTTTTTTTTTTTTTTTTAAGTTTATTTTTAAAAATGCACCGTTTATTTTTCTTTGATTTTTGGACACGTTAAACTTTCATCCTTGCGACTGCTTTTACAAAAATAATTTTGGAAAAATGATAATATTTTGTATTTAAAAAACATTTTTAAATGAAGCTTCCGAGTACACTTCTCACATCTCACATCTTTAAAAATGTGATTTTGGCAACAATTTTCCTGTCTTATTGTTGATAGATTTTTGATTAAATCGCATCATTTTGAATATTTTCATTCTTTTAGAAATATGGGTTTGGCAACAATTTTTCATTGCGTTGCTTTCATGTTATTTTTTGCTTATTTCACTGTTTGTAAGATATTGAAAAGTTTTGCAGGATATTTTTTCTTCAACGGAAAGTTGGTTAATTTTTTTATTAGGATAATTAATATTTGTATTAAGGGATATTGCTTATTTCATTGTAATTTTTTTTCTTGAAAATATAAGATAAAATATCATTAATTATATTTGCTTTTCAGAATTTTTTTTGTTTTTTGTATTTTTCTATGTTATTTATTGCTCATTTCACTGTTTTTAAGATATTGAAAAGTTTTGAGAGATTTTTTTAGGAAACAAAGTTCTTAACCTCCTTTATACCATTTGAATTCTTAAGACTTTGCAAAGGGAAGTTGGTTAATTTATTTATTAGGATAATTAATATTTGTATTAAGGGATATTGCTTATTTCATTGTAATTTTGTTATACGTAATAACGTTTTTATGAAGTTGTTCTGCAGAGTAAAATTCTACGCAGTTTTTTAATTTAACGTTTGGTATTTCCTTCAGCCATTTTCCCTGTACATTTAAAAGCCAGACGAAGGCTGGCAGCAAAGCTGCTAGTAATCGTTATAAATTACCCTATAAGCATGTCATTAGACCTTCAAATAAGAAGTTAATTTTGTATATTATATATTTCAATCTGTTAATTCCTGATACAGTGCCCCAGTATATCGGCGGGCCAAAAAATAGGCACTAAAGAGTGAAGCCGATGTACCAAGCAGTTGCCTAGTTAATGGCGGAATCATTACAGAAGATTCAAAAGTTAAAACTCAAATAAACTGATAATAAAATATTTGAAAAATGAAAATCGTTGAGTTTGTTAATTAAAAATGCGTTAAAGTTTTACAAAACATACAATAGATAATAAAACAAATTCCAAATTTGGTCTTCCAGATGCCTATATTCGGGTGGAAAAGTACGTTATTCAAAATTTGAGGGTTTAAGTACCGTTGTTTTTATCACAATGCGAGGGACATCCATCGATTTATGCAGATTCTTCATTACTTAATTTCTTTAAATATTATACAGGGCGATAATATTTGGTAGCAACAATTAGAAAAGTGAACCGACATTTATAGTGAAACGACGCAAAATGCCAAAACGAAATTAATAGTCCTTCTGGGCAAATTACCCCTTTGGACTAAGAAAATATTTCGCAATGAACTTTTGCTCTAAATGCAAAAATCTTCTTATGAGAAAGATTAAATTTCATAGCCTTGTATGTGTAAAAACAGTTTTCTGACTTTTTCAGGCAGCATTAAAGCATTGCAGACGGCATGTTAATTTTAACTTGTAAAACAATGTTTATAACGTTTGCGAAAATAATCATTAACTTTTATTAAAATTTTCATCCTCTTATGTAAAATCCTGTTATATTCGAATATTTAAATTTAATGGAGAAATTCCATTTTTTCCTTTTCCACAATATTCACTAAATACTTGAATTTTATTAAACTTGGAAAAAAGTAAAGGCGCTCCAATATGTATGTTGTCAGTTTCAATGAATTATCATAAACTTTATGCCGATTTATTTTTATCAAAGCACTTAAGAGTAATATTCCTAGTTAATGCCGGCATATGGATATGGAGTCAAACAAAACTTTGAAGCATAATCAAAAATACAGCAATAGCTGGTGTAAAATTTTTAATCGAGAAAAATAATACTGTTTTTTTTTTTTTTTTTTTTTTTTTTTTTTTTTTTTTTTTTAATTTCCTTCATTTCTTAGTCTCTTGTGATCTAAAATCTACCTTTTAATAATATGGTTAATAGTTACTTTTATGTTATTTAATTTTATGCTTTAATTTCCTTTTTATGTTTTAATTTCACCGATAAAATCCCATATAAGCCATTATATAATATATTTTGTTCGTGAAATATTCATTATGTTTTATACCTTACATTTAAATCATCAGGCAGATAATGTTTCCGGTCGGATGAAGCGAAACTGTAGCTGCTAATCATCGTAAAAGTTTTTATTTTAGTAATAAACTGAGTTTGAGTTCTTTGTCAAACTAAAATGGAATAGGAATTATTGAAAAATGTAGTAAAGGTACAGTTGAATAAGAATGAGGAGTTAGTAAAGTCTTTAAAAGTTTTTATTTTTAACTAACATACATCCTTTGACAGAAAACTTCCAGGACAAATGTCGTAAAAATGTAGAAAATTACATTTACCAAATAATGGTCCTAGATGCTATCAAAGTAGTCCCCTTGGCTATCTATAAACAACTGCCAACGTTTCTGGAGGTATTGGAATCAAGCAGGGAAATCTTCAACTAAGAGGCTTGCGAGCTCCTTTGTCACAGCCCGTTGGATGCCTGCAATAATCTTGATTAAAAACTATTAGACAAAAGTTCTTAAATAATGAAAGAGTAATATATAAATAAATGCAATTATAAAAAAAATCTGAAAGATTTCAGATTTTAAATTACGACCAAAGGGACAATTTTTAACATTTTGTAGGTTACCCTTATTCATTAAACAACATGTTCTTCGCACTTAAGCCATAAAATTCAGTTCAACAGCAATATCGCAAAATAATTTTAAATTGAGCCTATCTTTAGAATTTCCGATACACAGTCTCAGGCGCTGGAGATAAAAATGTTTTTTCTGTACAACGTTGCCATTGCTCGCTTTGAAATCCTTGAGTTTGTTAATCAAAAATTCATTAAAGTTTTACAAAACAGGAAATCGATAACAAAAAAAAATCGAAATTTCAAATTTGGGCTTCCAGATGCCTATATTTGAGGGGAGGACTACGTCAATTAAAATTTGATGTCTCTAGATATCGTTGTTTTATCACAATGCGAGAAATATACAAACGTTTACGCAGATTCTTCATTATTTAATTTCTTCAAATATAATACAAGGCGATAATATTTGGTGGCCATAGTTTGAAAAGTGAAACGGACATTCAGAATGATACGACGCAAAAACGTAATACGAAAAGAACAGTCCCTCAGGGACAAAATCCCCTTTGGACTAAAAATAATTAACATTTATATAAATTATTGTTCATATAGGAAAACAGAAAATATTTAACAATGTTCTTGCTACTCATAGTCTGGAAACCCTTGATCTAAGCTTACTTGCTTGAACGAAATTTACACTTTGTCAACGAGTCATTTGCACCCTCAACTTTGTGGTAATGCTGTTTTTGCTCAACACATTTTGGGTGATTATCACGTTTTGTACTTATACGTGACTTATTTTGGGGTTCATAACCTGCAAACCTATGTTTGCCAATTTATATTTATTAAGCATGTTTAATGGCAGTATGACTAATTACTATTAGTGGCAAATTTCGTGACTGAAATTTTTACATACCTATTTAGCATGTTTCTCAAAGTTCTTTTCCGATACTTTTACCACGTTCTTTTCAACGCTGCAGAGATCTGTAATGTTTGTTCGCAGTGGAATAATAACAACTGCTAAGAAATACATACACACACACACAATATATCACAAAAGAGCATTGGTATATGCACCAATCAAAATAAATTAATTTTTACTGAAATCATTCCAGAAGACAGATATTTACTCCAGGTATGAAATTATTTATGCCTGAAGATTACAGATTGGAAACATCTTTTGATTCCTAAACAACAATCTTTCATCTAAACTAATGACTTCACCCATCTTTCTGCTAATGACTTCCCAATAGTATATTGTTCCGATTTGAAGTGTTCGTTTCCGCATCGTTTCATTCAAAATATCTGAAATGTATAGTAACAAGCAAAATCCCGAAATATGACCTGGTACTCATTACAGATAAGACTATCGCTAGGATGTCAGTCTTGTTTCGCTCTCATTAAAACACAACAGCAGACAATCGCGGAATTTGAAATTGTTGGAATGATCTTCTGCATAAACTACTAAAGATGTTTACAGAAAAAGGTAAATGGAGCAGGCGGATAGAGATTTATAATATTCTTCTTATTTAAAATTATTACAGATATTTGTATGAAATAAGAACAACTATTCTTTTCTAAGAGATCCGTTTGAAACATTTGTACAACCTAAATAATGAAATGCTCATATGCAGACAGAATAAATTTTCTTTAGATGCGAATAGTAATTTCTGTATTTATATGTATCCCAGAAATATGAAGCTGCTATATATTTCTATTTAATGTATATGTTTCTATTATTTTCAAATTTAGTATTTTTCCTTGCATTTTGATTATCTTTCACTTAATTTCATTTTTGTTTCTATTGCATTTTGTCGAATATTGATAGCAAAAAGATCATCCACAGCATTTATATTAAAAAAAGCAGCGGTTATAGCAGTTTATAAAATTGTAATATTCCATCGAATGCTGGAGCTTATTTCAGCTTATTGGCAACGCACGAGTGGTTTGGAAGTAAGGTCCAGTGGTCCAAATTCCAAACCGTGTAAACCTTAGAGGAACAATATGTCACGAGAAAAAAATGTGGAAAACCTTTTTCTTCATGAGGTCAACAATTTCATATTAATGAAATACAAGTGGCTACCTAACGATATCCAAATAGCTATGCTAATGATCTTAACCGACTATAAAGGAAATGTCTGTAGGGCCAAAAAGTTTGGCCTATAAGAAATGTCTTCTTATATACTTGCTTACGATACCTCAATTTGTTAACTATTGATGTTTTTATTATGAAATATAATTTTAAAAAGATTTTTTCCCCCTAAATGAATTATAAAACTGATTTTAAATGGATTCAAAAGACACATTTTCGTGTCGTCTGTACGTACGTATATATGTATGTATGGATGTATCTCCCATAACTCAAAACGAGTAGCCGCAGAACGTTTAAATTTTGTATATAGGACTGTTATAACATTCAGTTGTGCACCTCCTTTTTTGGCTGCAATCAGCCGCACCAAAAGTACAATATATATATCCACTCTCTTTCTCGGCTCAGGTAAATTTTTTATTCTCATATTTTGGTAAATCGTGCACTTTTTGCTTTATAAATAAGTGAATAACGTTTTTCTTATCTTCTGGTTAAGGCTTTTATGCCTTTAGTTAATCTGCATGAAATAGTTTTAGAATTATTAAAAAATTAAAGTTGTCTAAGTGCTGTTAAGCTTAATTTTTTTTTTATTATCATAGCAGCCATATTTGTTTACATTTGAAACGCAGTAGAATAGTGAGCTAAGTCTTTATGCATCTTCAGTGTCGTTTTGCCAAGAGGAACCAAAACGAAGCTCTTAGTTTTGTGCGCCAAAAAATCTGACTTCTTGCCTGCTGGCTGAACTGCTTGTTTTTGCGTAGAAGCTGTAATTTTAATTGTAAAAATTGTTTTTTCAATCATTTTAACTGTATTTGGTGTTTTATGTTTTTCTATATCTTTCAATTTTTAATGAATCTATTTAAAGTTTTTACGTATTTTTGCCTCGCCGCGAAGCGAGAACTGAATTAATAGAATGAAAGATATATCTCTAATGAAATTTGAGGAATAAGTGTAAATGAAATGCAGGAAAAAATGCGAATAATTTAATGTTCCGTACATGGAACTCATGTGGTGTACACATCAGACTTTTTTTAAAAATCAGAATTTTAACATAAAATATACGTCTCGTGCTTACATATTGACCACCACTTGTGGCGATGTACCTTAAAGTAATAGCCAAATTCAAATTCGAACTAAGCTTAGTAGTACAAAAGTGATTTAACTCAAATCTGACTGAAAACGTGTCACCGGCGCAACAACTTAAATGAGTAAAGTAAAACCGAAGAATTACAAGCGAAGCCTGTTAAGGTGGTCTCGAAAGGCAGGACCATTCTTCGTCTTCTAATCCCAAACCCTCATCTTATTTGTTTATTTATTTAAAACTCTCATACCTATTTGCATTCTGGAAGGAAGCGAAAAGAAGAAGGGATAATAAAGCTAAAATTTTAAATAACTGATTACTGAAAATAGTAATATCCCTACAAATACAGCCGACATTTTATATAAAACAGAAGTGAAGATGAATGTTTTTGGATTCATATTGGTTCAATGTTAAGTTTCTCCTCTGGTTTGATTAGGCTTGAGTTCAGTTAACCAGGATTTTAAAGTAAGCACTTTTAATTGCACCAGATTTGGAATATGAAAAGGGTTTTCATGCCATCCATGTTAAAAGTTACAGAAATGGAAACAAGTAAATAATACTGATTTAATTATTGGAAAATTTGGAATAACTTGGAATAGATTATGTTTTTAGAAAAAAACTATCATTTTTGTTCTGACTAAAATTTGATTAGATGCTTAACTGAAATATTATAGCTTTAATAAGTATTAATTAATATTTTTAAAAAAGAATTTTTTTATAACACATATGAAATTTTGTATGCATATGATAATTTATATGTATATATAACCGTTTGACACAATTAAAATACTTTTTTACTGTATTGTCACTGTATTAATCTTCTCTTTAAGTCTGCAAAAATTATTAGCAAATCAGGAGGGTTATATGCTGCAGTACGACACTTTGTGCTCCTGAATTCTGAAATTTATATTAAAAAAATTAATATTTTTAAAAATTGTTTCTAAAATTAAGTAGCGGTTACGTAAGAAATAAATAATGAATAAAAACTGTAAAACCTGCAAACTATAATTATGGAAAATAACTCTGTATTATAAGGACTTAAATATCTAAAAGTAAAAAATAACTTTCTTTAGCTGTGAGAACAATTTAAAAGCCAACTTTGAGGTAAATGAGACAAACATCAACTTTTCGGAGGTGGGAGGTTGAGTAAAACAAAATGGTAGCCTTGCTCCTTCAAGGATACCAATTTTTTTTTTTTTTTTTTTTTTCTAGATGCCCTCGTCGTAAAACTAAATGATGTGAAACTCCTTTTTTCTTTCTATTTTGTTCAAGGGATGTTGCTGTATAATCTATTATGAACGATGTGGTTGTGGTACAAAGTCATTTTTTGAATCAGGAGACTTAGAAAATGAGTATTTCCCTTTCCGGGACCATTACACTATGAGAGCATGCTGAAAGGAGGGAGAAAATACCTTATATATTTCTCCTTTTAAAGGACAACTGATGATTAGGGCACCCAGTAGCCAAATCGTGGAGGTGACGAAGGTCCATCAGCTTCTAGTTTGGGCGACATTTGTAGAGATAGTAGTTTATTTTGAAACAGAAGGTGTGGAAAATGGGACTCGAACCTGGGCCTCTCGAATACGCTCCTAGTGCTCTAACTGTTACACGACGAAGGCATGCTAGAACGAGAGAGAAAATATTACATTAATTGCATTAGTGCTCTAAGACAATAACAGCCTTTCTTTCTGTCATTTATTTTTCTGTCATTTATTTAGCCTTTCTTTCTGTCATTTTTTTTTTTATTTATATTCTTGCATTTGATAGCACAGGAACATTATTCAATATTTATTCTTATCATTTTGTTATTATAAAATATAGACAAATAGCTATAGCTCTAATGTTTAATTATTAGCTTTGAAAAGAAAATTCACTTTCTCAAAAGAAAGAGGTGTTTGTTTAATATTATAACTCAATAAATTCTATTTTCTAGTTTTGCATAACTCTTTGAAAGCTAAACACCTATAAGAAAGTTTATAGCTAATTACCTGTTCGATACTCCCTGAAAAACATTCCTTCTCAGTATCTGAATTACTTATCCATATCTGAGAAATAGTAATATAATCATCATTGTACTGTGATTAATATCATCAATGCTTTCTCCACTTTTTTCGCCAGTTTTGAACTTATATTCTTGGAAACAATTCTGATATTACTTTGTTAGACAGAAGATTGCTTTTAGCCATTTTATTTTTGAAAACTCAAGAGAAAATAACCTTTTGAATTTCTTTCTACAGATTATTTGTTCTAGAAGCTTCTTCTCTCACTTTCAAAACGCTATGTTTTAAAAATAGAATCCGTTGTCTTGTTGCATTTCAATAAATATATTGCTTTGAAGTTCCTCGTTTTAGAGTGTTATAATATAGATATTTAAAAAGGTTTAGGTTTCCAGAAATGTTCTTCTATGTAAGGAAATTACATTAATACTCTTTAATAATTCAAACTCAAAACATTTTAACTATTCTTAACGAAAATATACATGAAATGTCAGAGAAACAAATGACTTCTCTTCCGTTCTTCTTAAAAACAAAAATTAAAGTTTCGAAATTTGAATGAATGCAACTTTGAGAGGTTCATGCACATACAAATAGCAATTTACTATATGTAATTTACTATATGTAATTGATTTTAGAGCTATAATGTAAAGTAAGGGTTAATTTTTAATTTAAAAATAATCTACGGAAGATCGTGCAAGAAAGATGAAAATATAAATAAAGCAATAGTAAGTAAAACAGTTAATATAACAAATAATGAAAATCAAGTCAAATATGAAAGCAAATGTGAAATATAAAAATGATAAATAAGCAATTTTTAAATTAAAAATAATTATTGCCTCAAATTTTTGTACAAAATAAATTACCACGAAAATTTTTATTCCGAAAAGGCACAAAGTTATGCTTTAATATGATTAATAATATAAGCAATACTGTACTAATGATTAAATACCAATCTTCGCACCAGTCGCATCTTGAACAAAAAATTGAATGTATAAAATTTTCTAAATACGGAATTCCACTGAATTTAGTATCTTATGTTTATTATCACAATTAAATAAAATACAACTTATAACAGTAAAAATCCTTATATATATATAATGCCATAAATTTTACAATAATATCTTTTAAATGCATTCCAAACACATTTTCCTAATTTTATGGAAAATCAATATTCTTCGCTTTTCTTGGAGTTTACTTTTCTATTTGCATTAGGTAAAGTAACACTTCAAAAATGCGTTAAAAATATAGTTTTATGGAAAACAAATATCTTATTCATTCTTTGGCAGCGCTTTCTGGAACTGTCTACTCCCTCGATCGAACTTTAGATAGATTGAATCGCAGCCACCCTTGTCCCAGAGAAGAATCCTTTTACCCCTTTGCTCCCGCATTGCAGACTATCGAGAACTAAGCTCCCCCTCCCCACTGAGAAACACCGCCTCTAAATTAACACCCGCGTTCGAAGCTAGTTTTCCAGTAGTGGTGGGTGAGGTTGGCCGTGAAGAGGCGGGTGATGGCGACAGAAAGCGTGGAATTAGGTTTCTTTTGTTGCTTCGTAGGAAGACATCCTCCCCAGCAATTTGTCACTTCACAGTTCCGAAGCATCCATTCCGAACTTCCCTCCCATTCCCCGCTTTCCCATCCCATAGTTACAATCGACCGTCGAAAGACGATTCAATTTGGTTCGATGTGAACTTTTCCAGGAAAAGTCGAGAACTGTGAATTTGAATGGGCCAGAGGAGGGTAGACTGTTATGCATCGAACTGATTTTTGTGGCCTCTAACACGTTAGGGGATGGGATACATTACTTATAAATACAGTCACGAGCGATGAATAATTATATCAGCTTTCAAAGCAAAGACGCAAGTGTTTATGTGGTAGATTTTGAATGGAATCAAGGAAACGCTTCGCCAAATTAATTTGTGATTTTCGAGCATCATGTTCGTGAGTCATAATATGGTTTTAGAGCAACGGATCAGTACGAAATATGGCATCTTTTAAATTTGTTAACATAAAACGCTGCAATTTGCCACTTCTAAGACTCATGCTTGTCAGTCTGAATGTTCTTGAATCTGTAGTAGTTCCTGACAATAATACCTGTAAAGTATGCTTCTTTCTTTTCCAACACATATTCACACTATATTTCCTTCGACAGAATATATACTGCAATGATACTACATATTTACATTTTTATTTTCAACGGCTTATACTTACTGAACTGGCTTAGAAAATATCCAGAGCTCTACATTTCTTTAAATTTCAACAGAAATTACAAAAGAAATTTATCTTTAGTATTTGCTGAAATTCAAGATCTCGGTTTAAAATTCTTTAATGTCATGTTTCTTAAAACATATGCAGAGTTTTATTCCAAACACTAAATTATTTTCTATTAATTATTTTCTATTAATTATTTTCTGTCTTTCTGCTATTAAGTTGATATCAGCGGAATGTAGACTAAGTTTAAACCGAACACGAAGATTTTATTTCATTTGTTGCAGTGGCAACATTTAGTGTTCGATGAAACCATTAGCAGCCGAATGTTAGCTGCGGTTTAAGAGTTCTTAACAATCCGGTAAGAATTAGCTTATAACATCCAGAGATTAGTTCTTATTTTTAGTTGAATTATTGAGTAAATTTTCGGTTTATGTTTCGGCAGTGGATAACTTTTGTTAATTTTTTCTTAGTTTTGAGGTCTAAGATTGAGGAGCTATAGCAATAAATGTGTTTTATTTTACTTATAAATCCTAACTGAAATTTCAGTACAGACCAGTTTATTTGTGATGGTCCAAATAAAATAATGTTGGAATACTTTATCAAGAGTTAGCTAGTTAGCGACAACCTTATACTAATTATGAAATGGTATTTTATTTTATGAGTTTTACATAAATCACACATTTTTATTTTAACTATAAGACTCCAAAAATATAATCTTCAGTTTATGAATGCATTTTTTTAAATTTTTAATGTTCGGCTGCTAATGGTTTCATCGAACACTAAATGTTGCCACTGCAACAAATGAAATGAAATCTTCGTGTTCGGTTTAAACTTAGTCTACATTCCGCTGATATCAACTTATAACAGAAAGACAGAAAATAATTAATAGAAAATAATTGAGTGTTTGGAATAAAACTCTGCATATGTTTTAAGAAATATGACATTAAAGAATTTTAAACCGAGATCTTGAGTTGCAGCAAATACTAAAGATAAATTTCTTTTGTAATTTCTGTTGAAATTTAAAGAAATGTAGAGCTCTGGATTTTTTTCTAAGCCAGTTCAGTAAGTATAAGCAGTTGAAAATAAAAATGTAAATATATAGTATCATTGCAGTATTAATATATTAGTATTAGTATCATTGCAGTATATATTCTGTCGAAGGAAATATAGTGTGAATATGTGTTGGAAAAGAAAGGAGCATACTTTACAGGTATTATATAGTAGATCATTATTATATAGTAGATCATTAATTCAATTTATTCATGCAGCCCATGCATTTAAACAAGAGTTAAAATTAATCACATAAATACACTTGAAATTATGACTGAAATATGACATCCGAAAACAGATTCTTAGTGCAAATATTTTCGCTTTCCGAATGAACATAAAAGGAGAATAAGGGAATAAATTAAGCGAAATGTATTACCATAAATGTAATACATAAGAATCTAGCTTTTTATCTTTCATAGTTAAAGGATATATTTCTCACAAAATGCTATACCTTATTCTTGACAACCTGGCACAGATCTATGAACATGTCCTTTAGACTGTGCAAATCCTTAATGTAAACCTAGGGCTGAATTTTACCTATTTTAACTAGAACATCTGACAAGATCACTGAATGATCGTAGTTTTAAAACATCGATGAAATTGTAACCGTAACTACTCTCCTAATAACCTCATGGTTGCTAAGATATGTAAAACTATTTCTGATGTAATTAAAAATAATATATTATAACAATTTGAAATTTCATTAAAACTGCGTATTTGAGAGAGTTTTCCTATTTTCAATTTTCTATGCATAAGAGATATTAAATCGTTTGCAAATTATAAAATTCTAATAACCTGTTTTGCTAAATCCTACACTTTTGCAGAAAAATCCGGTTGTGACAATTTACCTTTATTTTCGCAAGAAAATTATTGTCTAAAAACACGGACACATATATAGACTCAGTAGACTTTTATGAAAAATTAATTGCACATTTGAACGCGATTCTATTTTTCACTTACCAGATGGATAAGCTAACTTACACGAAGAATAAATGCATCGATACATGCTATAATTCCTTACAAAATTTAACTTTTCACATCTTGTCTTTAATATGTTAAAAATATTCATAGATTTCATGTACAGCATCTTATAATTTTGAGCTTCTTCGACAGTTATTATTACGAGAGTTCCTTACTTCACTTAAATTCAATGATGATGAATTATATACATCATATGAAGGAAGCAAATATCGATAGGTTACTCGTAAATAAGCTGGATAAAATGTCTTACTTGTTTAACTTCGAATAAGAAGAAAATGATTATTATATTCCGTCTAAATATTAGGTTGTCCGGAAAATAACACAGGTTTTAAACCTATATCTTCAAAGTATCATAAATCCACTCAAACACAATTTTATTAATC